CGGCCATCGGTTGCTCCGGCACTCCTGATGGTCCGGCACCATCAGGAACCCGGAAGTGCTCTGGGCAGCCGGCCCATTGGAGCTGCTCGGCCCCCGGCTTCCCCGATTCAGCCGCTGCTAAAACTGACCAGCAGCTGAATCAGGGAAGCCGGGGGCAGAGCAGCTACAATGGTCCGGCTGCCTGGAGCACTTCCAGGTTCCTGATTGATGCCAGACCATCAGGAGTGCCGGACCGTCAGATGCTGGACCAATGGAGTTTTACTGTAGTGAGGCTGGTGGATTACTTTTGCTACTACATTCAGAGAAGACTATTGCCATTCTCTCTCTCGTAAATCTACTGTTGAAACCACTTGGTCATTAAACAATGCCATCCAGGCATCTGCTACAACAGTAGTAGATCTTTGGCCAGCAATAGAAGCTACATTTGGATGAATCAGAGAGCTATCCATTGAAAAAGTACTGGAAGAAACAAAGATTTCAGTCCAGAAGTTGACTAACGAAGGCATTTATATTGAATCCTTAAGTGAAGAGGACAAGAAGTGTTTGTTAAGACAACTGAAAGTACACAGACTTGATTCTTAAAAATCTACAACAGCAACTTCTGGATTCTACTCAACCTCTACGTAGCATTTACAGATGCCTGTCCTATAAAACACTGACAGTTAGGTGGAGTGAGGCACTACCAGCAATGGGGCTGCCATGTGCTCGGGACAGAATAGAGAATTTGAACACAGAGTGGAATATCATACAACGAATAAATGAAGAGTTGACTTCAACTTCTTTTTTATCATCACTAGTGGCTTCACCAGATCTTTGTGCTATGTTTCCTGGGATGAAAGAAGCAGGAATTCATCTCTTGCTACTCCCAGTCACAACAGCTACAGCTGAGCGTTCTTTTTCATCATTGAATAGAATTTTGTGTTCCGAAAGAAGTCACCTTCTGCCTGATCATGTGAATGAACTAATGAGCATATAAATTGAAAGGATGGAAGTACCGGATACACGAGAAGGCACCGAAGATGAACACATTGCATTCGAGAAGTTCATTAACAGAGTTGTGCAAAATTATAACAAGAAACCAAGAAGGATGTAGACGTAGTGCTTCGTAGAAGGCTTGAGTAGCCAACTTTAATTGGTGTGATTTTAAAACATGAGTCAAATCTAATAAAATTATCATGAAACATTTTTCAGTTTTTACTTTGGTGCCATACAGCCCACCTTCACCCTCACGGTCTCACCCCCTCATCGGCCCTGACACACACACACACACACACACACCGTGTCTATTACCTCTCGAGGTCCCTTCCAGTCCTAATATTCCCCCCCCCCCATTTCAATTCCTGGAGAAAACACTGTCTGAGTGGGCACGACTCCCTGGGTGATGCCATTCTTCTCACTTGTGGGATCACCTATTATACACCTTTCCACCCATTCCTCTCATTCCCAGAGTCCTCCAGAAGATACAGATGGACGGAGCCCGAGGGATTGTGGGGGAAAAACAAATAACTCCAATTGTGTCTAAGGGGGGACTGTGCAGAAATCAAAACTCTCTAAAAGAAAACTGCTGTAAGGGTTAAAAGTTTTCCAGACTTCTCTCCCTGTATCAGAGTGAAATCAAATTAACTCTAATCAAAGACCCTTACAAATGCCTCTCTCAAATTCATGGATACTCCTAGTCTGTCACAAATTATCATGTAAACTCTTATCTTTGTCACAGTTTGCCTTGTAAGACTACTCACTCCACATTCTCATGTGCCTTTGTTTTGTAAAACTTACTTCTAGCACTCCTGGGGTGAACAGACGTCTCAGAGTACTTCTGCTGAGACTTTGATATGTTAA